GCTTCTCCAAGGTACCTGCCCAGGCCCGAGCCCAAGCCCGGGGCTTCCCTCTACCATGGGGAGGCCCAACCTCTCTTTGAAGTTCCTCCTGAGGCAAAGTGCCTGCTTGAGAGATCACCCCTGTAGCCACAGTAGGCTGCCCACAAGAGGATGACCTCAGTCTCCTGGCATAGCCTTCTGTACTGGCCGCTGGTTGTTTCTTGTTCTTCTTTCTCCTGCCCTTTCGAGTTCTCTGGGAACTCAGCGCTGCATCGGCTGGTGGGTTCTGAGGCCCCTTGGGCACCACTGGCTCCATGATTTCCTTGGGCTCCAACAAGGCTGACTCCAGCTTTTCCCCTGAGTCCAGTGACAACCCCTCTTTCTCAAGGCAGAGGGCTTCCTTGGCCACAGCAGCCTCTGTCTCTGACTCAAGTGTAGGCAGGAGCAGCTGCAAGGCAGGACTGGCCTCTAGTGAGTCATCCAGGAGCACAGGCTGGGGTCCAGTAGGGATCTGCCGCACCACAACTGGGATCTCCAGGTCATTGCCAGCTGTGGCTGCCTGGCCCACAATCTCCAGCACCACACAATCCTCAGGCAGTGTCAAATCATCCGGCTGCTCATGAAGTTCATTGTTGAGTGATGTCAGGTGGGTGAAGTTGGGCAGACAGTATGGGTGCATGGCCCGCACCAACTCACTCAGGGAAGAGATGCTCTCATCACCAGCTGCCTGCACTGCCATACCTGCGGCTGCTGTTTTATCTTCCTCCTCAGGGCAGGCCAGGTGCATGGGAAAGTCTGGGATGCTGCTCATTGAGTTGCCATGTTCCACAGCAAGCATCTGGCCACTGAAGCTGGCCACCTCCTCCTCTTCTTCCCCATCACTACGCTGTTGGGGAAAAGGGGACTGGCTTCTGCGGGGTCTGGATCTTGGGGGTCTCCAGCTAGAAAGTTTGGGGGAGGAGGTCTCCAAGAAGGAAGAAGGGGAGAAGTCCCAAGGGGGATCTGCGAGAGACATCTCAACCTACAAGAGAGTAGAGAAGCCACAGAAGGAGTTTTTCCAGGAACATCTTTTTCCAGACCCGTCCCCACACACTCCTCCCCTCCTGGGATTCCCTGAGACTCCTTAGGTCAGGCTTACCCCACTCACTCTACTACTGCCTGAACTGGGCCCCAGCGGATCAACTGACGTGATGAGGTCACGTTCTGAGGGTGTCCGAGAGAGAGTGAGCAGCTTGTGCAGCTAGGAGAAAAAAAGAACCTGAGATGAGTTTGTGATACAGAATACGTGAGTAGGCCCACAGACATGGTTCTAACCTTTGCACCAAACCACACAACCCCTTCCCCTGGTCCCACACTCACAGAGGAGCCCTCCCGAGGTGAGGCAAGCAGCTCAGAGTCAGGAATGCTGTCAAATGGAGACAGGTTCTCGGAATCTGCATTGTCCAAGATCTCCGTCAGAGCTGTGAGTAGTGACACTTCATTCTGGTCCTCCAGAGATAACCTGCTCTGCTCCAGAAAGACAACAGGAAAGTTCTACATCATCACCCCAAATGACCTACTGAGCCACTAAGAACTGAATGCCAGGAAAATCAGTCTCCCCAGCTCTCAGTTCACTTCAATTTGCCAAGGACAAAGTTGAGTACCAGGAGACATGAGTTCCAATCCCATTTACTACCATCTACCACCTCTGTAGTGTCAACAGAGACCTGTCAAAACTGAGTCATAAACTTATGTTTTAAACACTCCCTTCATCCTCAAGCTAAGTGGAATGCTTAGCAGACAACCTTTGGTGAGGCTGGAATTGGGCTCAAAACAGGGATCAGAACCCTCTACACATGTAAGGGGCCAACGCAGGAGAAAGGAAAGTCTAAGCCTGCCAGGTCATCCTTAAATGGGACATAATCTGACAGCCTGCAGCCCGATTCTCACCGAGAGACAAAAAAATGGGCTTCAGGTTGGGTATTCAGGAACCAAGGTTCTGGGAGAACAGAGCCACTAAGCCATAACCTCTCATGCAAACTGCCTGTCTAAAGACCTCTAGGCCCAGCTCTAGCTCACCTCTCCAAGGCTCCCAAAATCTTCAATGAGGGAGATGAGGGAGGCATCCATGTAGCTCTGCATGGTTCCCAGCAGTGTTTCATCCTGCAGCATCAGCTCCTCCATCTCCAGGTCCTTGTCCTTTAGACAGGGGCCCAGCCGAGACAGACTGACAATGCCAGAATCATCCACCTCTTCATGCAGCAGCACCTGGGGGAAAAGGGGAGATGTCAGAAGAGCATGGTGAAGTCTACAGGACATGGACCTTTTGGGGCAACTGACTGATATGCTCTGTAAACGAGGTGCCCAGCCTTCCACAATGGCCCCAGACTCAGCAGGAGCCCCACCACAGCCAAACCTCCAGACTTGCTGGCAGAGAGAAGTACAGCTCGTGAGCCAAAGCCCCTACCAAGATGGCAGTGCTCAGGGACCTTCTAGGCAAAAAAAAGTTTGGACTCCATCCAGAAAGAGCTGGAGCCATAAGAGATTATTAAACTGGAGAGTCAAAATATCAAGACTGTTCAGAAGAGATGTCTGATGGCAGTGTGAAGGCAAACAGTCTGAAGGGCACACCAAAGGAGAGGAGATCAGCAAGCAGGCAACTTCAACTACCACCACCTCACCTCCCTCGATCCCTCTTAGGCCTCTCTTCCCATTTAATCCCATCTTCTTCAAGAAGACACCTTCAAGATGATCTCCCCGCTGAATTCACACACTTCCGTACCACTCACTTTTCTGGCAAGCACATCCTGTCCCCTCCCCAGCCCATAACATTCCTTACATCAATACTAAAACTGGGTTCCAAGTTCCTTTGGGGTAAGTAACCTTCATATCCTATAGTTTTTATGTTCTTCTTGGTTCTTATAAGGGTTTAAACTATACACATACTTCCTGGTCACCCTAGATGCCTAGTACAGTGTCTTATATACACTTACTTCATACTTTTATTATGAAGGCCTACAGTGTGCCACCGAATCTCTCAATGGTAGTCCTAAGGAAAAAGTCTCTTCCCTAACCCTATCAGGTGAGAGCTAAAGATGAGAAAGCTTGATTCTGGAGATGGAAAAGCCCCACCCCACTACTTCCCTGAGAACTAGCAATGTCTTCAGCCTTGTTAGGCAGGGAGCCACCCGTCCAGGCCTGTCAAGCATGTGGGTGTGGGCTGGGCCAGAAGTGGCTGGAATGGAGCGAGCAAGGCCAGAGGCCAGAGCCATGGGTATCTAAACTATAGGAAACATATGATGCAAAGGCCAGAGAATAGGAACAAACATGGATAAACCAGTTTGCAGCAAAGGGAAACTGCATCTCTTCCAAGAGAAAAAAAAAAGCAACATATGTAACCATACCCCATACCCACCCTCCTACCAAGTTGAGGATAACCTGGGAGAGGAAAGGCTAGATAGGAACACTTAGGAGGCCAGGGACAGAGATGAAGTGAAAGGTGGCAGGTTTTAGGCACTGACTAACTCCTCCCACGCCTTCACAATCCTGTAATTACAGCCAGCAGCTGAATAGCACCTGGCTCAGCAAACACTCCTAGGTGAGCAAGGAGGCTGCATCTCAACTTGTCCTGCCACCTATCTGGCCTAGCCACTGGGCCAGAATCTCAAGACAATGCCCAGCTCTACAAAGATTCATCATCTCCATCAGACCAGTACTGGAGCCCGAGTCAGAGACACCCCCTCTCCACCTTACCTTACCCATCATTCAATCCCCAAACAGGACAGCTCCTAAAGTACCAGTATCATCTAGGGCAGGGGTGGGGAACGTCCGGCCTCAACCGTATAAGGCCTGCATAATCATTTGGTCTGGCCCTGCCAAGGCATTAGGGGTGAGTTAATTAAATGTTTGACTGAATATAGCAGGCTAATTTTTAAACTGACAACTCTGTATGGCCCACAAATGATGTTATCAATATACAAATGGCCCTTGCCAGAAAAAAGCTTCCCCACCCCTGATCTAGGGGCTAAACCCAGGCTAAAAGTGAACCCATATCCAGTCCTGTCCCTGCATGGCTCAAAACCAGCTACAAACTTAAAAATAAGTCAGATCACTTCCAGAAACAGTCCCTAAATCCCTCCAATAGCATCTTACTGCCCTTGGCATTAGGTTTGCACTCCTTAATATGGCTTAAAGGGGTCATGGTCTTCCCCACCAGACTCTTCTGCTCCAGCCTGTCCTCTCACCACCCTGCCTGTCTCTCTACACACCAGCCACACAAGTCTGTTTCTCCAAAAAGTCATGTTCTCTCCCACCTCAAGGCCTTCACATACTATTTCCTCTGATGTTTGTTTGTGGGGTTTTTTGTTGTTGTTAATCCTCATCCGAGGATATTTTCCCACTGATTTTAGAGAGAGTGGAAGGGAGAGGGAGAGACAGAGAGAAACATCAATGTGAGGAAGACACATCGATTGGTTGCCTCCTGCACACACCCCAACCAGGGCCTTGACCAAAATGGAACCCGGACCCTTCAGTCTGAGGGCCAACGCTCTACCCACTGAGCTAACCAGCTAGGGCATATTACCTGTGATGAAAGTGTCTCCTACCTACACACATAGCCTTATTAGAGTCTCAGCTTAAAATGGTCTTTCCCAGACCCTGCAAAGTAGATTACTACTGCTGATTATATAATCTCAAATATGCACTTTCCTTATTATCTGTCTAGCCTGATAAAAACATAAGATCCTATTGGCGGGGGAAAGGAGATCCTATAGGACAGGAGTGGTTTACCACAGTATTCCCTGTGTCTGAACATAATGCTTTCTCAATAAGTAGCTAGTTGACTAGATTCCAAATACACAGCGTTTTTTTGTATTTGGTGGTGAGGAGGAAGGGGTAATCTCTTCATGAGACCTCGCCAACCCCAAATGACCACCCAACTTAGATGACAGCTAGATCATGAATCCTTCTTGCCTCTCCCCCAAAGGGTGACCTCTGGAAAAATTAGGGAAGAGGGTGTGACAGCGCCCAAGTTAGGGACCCAGAAGCCATTCTTCCTTAGGCAAGGGCCTGGATTGGTCTGCTGGAACTGACACTACCTGGTAGCCTGCAGCCCAACTCCCACCTGGAGAACAACAAAAAAAAGCTTTCAAGGACTCAGCTTAATTGCTTAAGAGAGATAACAGTTCAAACTAAGTCCCGCACAACCTCCACTCTGGGTGAGAACTTATAAGAAGTCCTGTGCTGAGGAATAAAAAGATAACACTTTAGAAGTATGGAGAGCTAAAGGCCAAGAAAATAATAATCTGACAGGAAGGAATCCCCCCAACCAATAAATGTTCCTCTAGTGTTGTTCTCAGATCGCCTCCAACTTTTCTCCTCCCCAGCAAAAATTCCAAACAGCCTTAAACACAAACCACCCCAATTTGTCAGTTCACAGCAGACCTTAGCTGTCCCTTCAAAAGAGATGCTGGAGGAAAAAAAGTGAAAGGTGCGAGGATTCTCTTTCCTTTCCTTAAGCTTGTCCCATGTATATGCTGACATTCCCATTCCCCTTGAATCAAGAATGAGGCAGGACTGCAGGCAACCCAAACACCAGTGCCCCTGCCTCACAACCCCCCCCCCCCCCCACAC